GTTGATCCTGTTACATTTTTTAATTGCTAGTACATCACCAGGCATTTGATGTTGAAGTAAGGTTGATAACTCAAACGTTTTTTCAAATAAACTTGTGATCAAGATTATTTACGGCCATTGTCTTGGACGTATGCTTATGTTGTGTTGGGTAGAACTGCTTATGTGTTGTTGCTGTGTAGTTGATGCTTGTTTGTGTCCTATTTTATGTGTAGTTGGCATTTGTGTTCTTTCTTTGTATTGTTTCGCTATAGAATTGCAGCATGCATTAAAATTAATGTGTCATATTGTCCAAATAGCGACACTCCTTCTAACCCACTGCACAAACAAAGTGCATACGAAGCGCTGTCAAGTTCTTTTGCTGAACTAAACTGGGTCAGGCTGACCCAAAAGGCAAATACTGCTTTGCTGTTTGGACAAAGTCACATTGATTTTACTGAGTGCGCGCTTCCCATCTTTATGTGGGATCTATTGAAATATTCTCGTGTGTATAGTTAAACCATTTCTGTAGCGTTGCATATGAATTATTTTTACAGATCATTTGAGGACATTAATAAGTCTATAGGAGGCATGTTTGAGCTCCATTGAAGGTCGCATTAATGGCTTTACTTGAGAAGTCAACTTCTGCCCTCATGGCAACTCTATTCTTGTTGTTGCAGGAGTGCTGTCTCACGCACCGAGCTCATTAGACGCTAGTTATAAGGGAACTAGTGTAGTTGTGATGTGGTATTCTTGTTGCTGCAGGAGTGCTGTCTCACGCACCGAGCTCATTAGACACTAGTTATAAGGGAACTAGTGTAGTTGTGATGTGGTATTCTTGTTGCTGCAGGAGTGCTGTCTCACGCACCGAGCTCACTAGACACTAGTTATAAGGGAACTAGTGTAGTTGTGATGTGGTATTCTTGTCTAACAAAGCTTGAAATTATGCAGAGGAAAATCTAAACATCATAAAGATTATTGTGATTCATGATAATTAATGCAACATTACAAATCATTGGTCAGTTAATCAATCAGTTGATTGATTTGCATATCTTTAGCATTGTTCAGATCTCACAGGCACAGTGCCGTCCTAACTTTGTTGATGCTCCTAACGCTATTTTAACGCTTTTAACACACTTAACGCAAACTTTACACTTGTGCTCCATATCAACGCTCACACAGATATTTCACAGGTACTGTATAGCAAGGCATTTTCTTCTCCGTACCTTGTTTGCATGCATGTTTTCCTGAAAGCTTCATTTTGTGCTGTAACCCTGCCGAGCCTGCCAGCATGTATAGTAACAACCCTGGGTGTTGGTATGTGCTAACCGTGTTACCTTCTTGTTATTGTTAGTATATCTTGTGATGCTTCAAATGTCATCCCTCCAATGCTTATTTGTTTTGAGCATGAACAATAAGGCCTCAAAGTTCCCTAAATGCGTAAATTTATCGAAGTAAATCACTCAAGTAAAGCTCGGGCAATTCAATCTATTATAACACAATTTTATGCGTTTGTCATACCTGGTTTTTAGAAAGTCTTGATCTTACAACAGAAGTAGCATATTTGCAAATCTTTAATGCTTTTTTAATTATATTTCCATTCTATAACACCCTCCATCACACACAAATTCCGTTTAACTTTTTGCAGCAATTTATAAATGTATGTAAACCGAGGCATTTACATAAGACGGTTTGTGAAGACAATTTCTAGCTAGACATTGTAATTGTCCTCTCTTACGTTAGGTATAATGAGCATCTCTTAAGCCACATAACCTTTAGTTTACCATTGACCAATTATTGCACTTAAGTGTGAAGGGCATCAGTGTAGCCCTATACGTGATTATTTATATGTACTAATATCAATAGTCTGCTTAACCCTCAACCGCCGTATGTCACTCTCCGGAAACATGACTTTCTGCTTGAATTATATGTAAACTATTGACATAATTGAGTGTAGCAACCTAAAGACGTTTGTACGCAACAGAGAACATTTTAAAGTTGTACGTGGCGGCAACCATCAGTGCAAGTCATTTTACGCTCACCAGAACGTATCCTTTTTGTGAAGTAGGCTTATGACAATATTGTTTCGATTACTCATGTCATGTCAGGCGGTATAGGGCTAAATTGCTGAAATTGCGAATTCACCAAGAATTTAAAAGCAGAGGAAACTCCAAGTTGATTTAGAATTTCATCATTCAACGTCGGTGAAGATATATGATCAATTAACATGGCGTATCCTATTGATAGATATTTTTATTGTGACAGGCGCTAAGAGCCAGCCGCCCAGTTCTTATATGTATATGAATGAGCCTCCATAGCTTAACTTATTAACGCTTGATTGAGACTTGTAGTGCATAACATTTGCTTACATATTTCTAATTGACGTTCACCTGAGAGACTTGATACATAACTTCAACCCTTTGATTGCATACTTTGACTATAAGCTCAATTGAGAGACTTGTGATGAATAGCTTTGACTCACTGCTTAAGTATTTAGAAAGCGCGTCTAAAAGATGATCACTCCGCGAGAAACAAGGGAGCTCTTAAACTTATTGCTTACTGTGGCACTCCAGAACACAACACACCAGAAGTCCAGAACACAACACTCCACACCACAACACGCCACACCACACCACACCACAACATGCCACACCACAACACACCACACCACAACACGCCACACCACACCACAACATGCCACACCCCACCACAACACTCTAACAAAGCTTGAAATTATGCAGAGGAAAATCTAAACATCATAAAGATTATTGTGATTCATGATAATTAATGCAACATTACAAATCATTGGTCAGTTAATCAATCAGTTGATTGATTTGCATATCTTTAGCATTGTTCAGATCTCACAGGCACAGTGCCGTCCTAACTTTGTTGATGCTCCTAACGCTATTTTAACGCTTTTAACACACTTAACGCGAACTTTACACTTGCGCTCAGTATCAACGCTCACACAGAGATTGCACAGGTACTGTATAGTAAGACATTTTCTTCTCTGTACCTTGTTTGCATGCATGTTTTCCTGAAAGCTTCATTTTGTGCTGTAACCCTGCCGAGCCTGCCAGCATGTATAGTAACAACCTGGGTGTTGGTATGTGCTAACCATGTTACCTTCTTGTTATTGTGAATATATCTTGTGATGCTTCAAATGTCATCCCTCCAATGCTTATTTGTTTTGAGCATGAACAATAAGGCCTCAAAGTTCCCTAAATGCGTAAATTTATCCAAGTAAAACGCTCAAGTAAGGCTCGGGCAATCAACCTAATAAAACACAATTTTATGCGTTTGTCTTACCTGGTTATTAGAAAGTCTTGATCTTACAACATAAGTAACATATTTGCAAATCTTTAATGCTTGTTAATTACATTTCTGTTTTCTGTTATATAACTACCGGATCCATCACATACAAATTCCGTTTACCTTTTTGCAGCAATTTATAAATGTATGTAAACAGAGGCATTTACATTTGACGGTTTGTGAAGACAATAATTTCTAGTTAGACACATCGTGATTGTCCTCTCTTACGTTAGGTATAATGAGCGTCTCTTAAGCCGTAACCTTTAGCTTACCATTGACCAATTATTGCACTCGAGTGTAAAGGGCAACAGTGTAGCCCTATAAGTGATTAGTTATATGTACTAATATCATTAGTCAGCTTAACCTTCTACCGCCGTATGTCACTCTCCGGGAACATAACTTTCAAATTGAATTATTCGTTAACTTTTGAGTGTAGCAACCTGAGAATGTTTGTACACAACAGAGAACATTGCAAGTCATTTTGCGCTCGCTAGAACATATCAATTTTAGGAAGAAGGCGCGTGACAATATTACTCCGGTTACATAGGTCAGGCGGTAGAGGGTTCAATTGCTTCAGTCGCAAATTCATCAAGAAATTTAAAAGCAGAGGAAACTACAAGTTAATTTAGCATTTTTTCATTCAACGTCGGTGGAGATACATGATCAATTAACATGGCGTATCCTTTAGATAGATATTTTTATTGTGACAGGCGCTGAGAGCCAGCCGCCCAGTTCTTGTACATGGATGAGCGTCCATAGCTTAACTTATTGACGCTTGATTGAGACTTGTAATGCATAACATTCGCTTACATATTTCTAATTGACGTTCACCTGTGACTTGATACATAACTTCAACCCTTTGATTACGTACGTACTTTTACTATAAGCTCAATTGAGAGACTTGTGATGCATAGCTTTGACTTACTGCTTAAGTATTTAGGAGACGCGTCTAAAAGATGATCACTCCGCAATAAACAAGGGAGCTCTTAACTTACTGCTTACTGTGGCTGTTGCACTTACTGTACAGTATGACAATACAGAACACAACACACCACAACACAACACACCAGAACACAACACAACACACCATAACACAACACTCCAGAGCACAATACGCCAGAAGACAACAACGCAACACACCACACCACAACACAACACACCAGCTCATAACACATGTTGGTGCTGGGCAGTTCCTGCGGGACGGTAGCCAGGAGACGTCCAAGGCTCCAGCAGCTCGCCAGCCTTCCCTGCCCAACGCCCTGACGGAACGCGACCTCCTGTCCAGTGAGTGCTGCCTCTACAGCCATCTTTTGTTGTCATAACCTTCATTACTAAGCGTTATTTCAACTCACCAGCCATGTCCTGTTGAACGATCAATGATATCAACTCGTAATGAATATTGTCCCATTTATCTCGTAAGTGCAGTGACGAACTGCACCCCTTCATTGCAGTGCAGTGACTCTCATTCCTCCGTTGCAGTGCAGTGACTCTCATTCCTCCGTTGCAGTGCAGTGACTCTTACTCCTCTGTTGCAGTGCTCGTCAACAACAGCGGTGATGGGGCCTCAGCCTCCAGCAGTTATGGGCCCCCCGGGGCCCCGGCCACGCTACAGGTGCCTGGGCCGCATTACCCTCAGCACAGTCATGAGGTGATGCTCTGGAAACTCCTGCAGCAGCAACAGAAGCAACAGCAGCAACAAAAACTGCAACAACAACAGCTTCAGCAGCAACAGCAACTCAAGCAACGGCAGCTCCTGCAACAGGTGCGATCTTCTTAAATAAAGAGTTTGCTTAGCTGAGCTTACTATAACCTACACGTCCTATAGGAGTATAGGTTATATGGATGACCATGCACGAGCACTTTCTACACTAACCTCCCTCTATATAACCTATCAAAAAGTATAACCTAACGTCCTANGATGACCATGCACGAGGACGTCCTACACTAACCTCCCTCTATATAACCTATCAAAAAGTATAACCTAAACGTCCTATAGGTTATATAGATAAGTAGACCGAATCAAGCTGCCATTATTCCTGCAGGCTCTGCAGCTGCAGCAGCAACAGCAGACCGTGGACCCCATCAAGCAGCTGGTGGGGGGACGACTGGGCACCAGAAGCCCCCACCCCAGCATGGGGGGCGGCCCCGCAAGCTCTGCACCGCCGCCCTCTGCTCAAGGCGTCCCTCCTGCTGGCGGGCTGCGTCCTGAAGTCCTCAGCATCCTGCAGCGTGAGTGCTATCTTTTGTTAGCCATTCAACGGTCCATATAATTGGGCTATAACGGGCCATATTATTGGGCTTTAACGGGCCATATAATTGGGCTATAACGGGCCATATTATTGGGCTTTAACGGGCCATATAATTGGGCTATAACGGGCCATATAATTGATCCATAACGGTTCATATAATTGCGCCGTAACGGGCCAATTAATTGGGCTGTAACCAGCCATAAAATTCGGCCGTAACGGGCCATATAATTGGGCCGTAACGATCCGTATAGTTGGCCCATAACGGTCCATATAATTGGGCCTTAACAGTCCATACATATAATATACGGTCTGAATATTTGGTCCATAACGGTCCACATAATTACTTCGAATTCTGCTGTTTATTGATGAAGAAATTTTTTTATTAAAGGTTTAACAAATATGCAGCTATTTGGAATACCTATCTGATATTTTTGTAGTAATGTTCACTGTGATATTTACTTGAGACGTATGACGCTTGACATGATTTTTACTTAAACATTCTTCAGTTAGTAGTGCTGCCTCCATTTAGCTGTGTTAGGTGGTAGTGCTGCCTTCATTTAGTTATAGTCTCTTAGTCCCAGACGAAAGCAAAATTTTCTTCAATATCTTACGTAGTACAATAAAGCCGGTACCCACGATACCTACTCGCCTCGTGTCCTGATCTCATATGCAAGATTCTAGAGAGGAACATCAATGTTGTTCTTGTTCTATACGAAAATATTATGTTCTAGAGAGGAACATCAATGTTGTTCTTAATCTGTACGAAAATATCATTGGTGCATTAATGACCGCTCCCGCCTTACTTAATCTCAGCATTGTTGTTTCTTTTGTTCAAGACGCTTTGCTTGATATTGTTCTTATTCGGTAGGACAATTTCCTGACGCTCCTTTCCTGACGCTCCTTTCCTGACGCTCCTTTCCTGACGCTCCTTTCCTGACGCTCCTTTCCTGACGCTCCTTTCCTGACGCTCCTTTACGTCCTATAGGTTATATAGATAAGAAGACCGAGTAAAACTGTCGTTATTCCTGCAGGCTCTGCAGCTGCAGCAGCAACAGCAGACCGTGGACCCCATCAAGCAGCTGGTAGGGGGACGACTTGGCACCAGAAGCCCCCACCCCAGCATGGGGGGCGGCTCCGCGACCTCTGCACCGCCGCCCTCAGCACAAGGCGTCCCTCCTGCTGGTGGGCTGCGTCCTGAAGTCCTCAGCATCCTGCAGCGTGAGTGCTGATTGTTATGAGCCATTTAATGGTCCATATAATTGGTCCATAACGGTCCATGTAATTGACGTTCATGCCCCTGACGTTCCTGCCCCTGACGTTCCTAACGCCCGTTCATGACACAGGCGTGATGAGCGGCCAGACGTCGGACGCTCAGCTCGTGTCGCAGCTGCAGAACGGAGCCTTGAACGCAGCACAGCGCGAGCACGTCTTGATGGCCCTGCAGGTGCTGGCACAGCCCAGCGTTATGGCCCACCGGCCCCAGCTGTCCCCTTCTCCTACTGCCAAGGTGAGGCCTGCATTCATTTTTATACGCTCTATGACGCCCTAAATGAATTTGGGGCTTGGAGACGTAGTGTTGCTGGTGCGAAATTGCTAATGGTGTTGCTGGTGCTAATGGTGTTAATGCCTAATGGTGTTGCTGGTGCTAATGTGCTAATGCCTAATGGTGTTACTGGTGTTATGCCTAATGGTGTTGCTGGTTTACAGGGCGGACTGTGCGTGGGTAGCGGCCCCGTGTCCCCCCGCGTGCTCTCCCCCAACCCTGGGGACAACACCTTGCTCGCCCCACACCCTGCCATGGCCCAGACACGCCTCTCTCCCCTCAGTGAGTTGCCTGCTCTCGCTCACAACAACAATTTATGAGCCTATCAACACACAGTTTCAACCTATGTAGTATATATTAGTATTGCTAAATAGAACTATTTGATGATATGCGTACTATTATCCTACATAAAATACCACTCAGTGTAATACTTCAAGAAATGACCTCGTGTTTTGAAAACGCATTCAGTTCTCGAAGGCTCGGCTTACGTTGTTTATTTTCCCTACGTTGTAAGATCAAATTTAAGTGCAGCCCCGCTAGAATTTAGATTTGGCTAGTAAGGGTATTATTAGATTTGGCTAGTAAGGGTATTATTAGATTTGGCTAGTAAGGGTATGATAACATTTGATTAGCAATGGTATTATTAGATTTAATTAGCAGTGGTATTATTAGATTTGATTAGTAGGGCAGGGCATTATTAGATTTGGCTTTCAAGAGTATGACGTGACTTGAGAAGTGAAATCATATATCCTGAAGTGACCCAAGTCTGGTCTCATAAAACCGCAACTATTCGTTGTTTTGTAGCACTTCGCAGAAGTTTTTTTTCTAAAGATGACCTGAAAAGTGTTACCATGGTTATTGGATAAAATTGTACTCATGTAAAGGTTCTATAAAGTTCATGCCTTTATACTTATTTCAGCAAGTTCTTTATTTCGTTTACATTGGTTCATTACGATTTTCTAGTAATGCAAGTTCATTCAAATTACTTGGTCTTTACCATCTCCATTTTTTTTTAGAAACACCGTAAGCGAGATTCTGAACGAGGTCGCTCCCCCAACCCCTCCATGCCGGTCACCACCACTGCACTCACCTCAGCCCCTAAGGTAACAAACCTTAATTACCCTAAGTGAACTATAGTGCTACGTGTATATTACCTGCTGTCAATGCTTTCCAATTTTCAAAACTTGGTAACAAGTCCCCGGCAGCAGGAAAAAGTGAGGAGGTACAACGAGATTCGAACTTCTGATTGAACAAATTTCTGATGAGTAGAAATAATCCTGTTGATATTTTCTTGGGAATCTTTCTTGGAATTTTGATAATTTTGCATCTCCTTATCAAGCCGAGAACTGATTGTCATTATGGTAACGAAATACGAGTCCAACATTCAGTTTTTTACAGAGTAGCTTGAATCTAAGCAAGTGTATCGACTCCAACAAGCCATTAATTAAATTTTTAAACACGATTAAGTTAATTAAGTTGCTGTAAGCAAGTGTCAAAACGCCATGTTTGTAATAACGTCACGTCACTTGAGTCACTGTAATAACGTCGCGTCACTTAAGTCACTGTAATAACGCCACGTCACTTGAGTCACTGTAATAACGCCACGTCACTTAAGTCACTGTAATAACGTCACGTCACTTAAGTTACTGTAATAACGCCACGTCACTTAAGTTACTGTAATAACGTCACGTCACTTGAGTCACTCTAATAACGCCACGTTTATAAAGTCACTAATAACGTCGCGTTACTTAAGTCACTGTAATAATGCCACGTTTATAAAGTCACTAATAACGTCACGTCACTTAAGTCACTATAATAACGACACATTTCTCACGCAGGAAAGCTCGCCCAACAAGAGCGTGACGACCAAGTCTCAGTCGCCGCTGGCGTTCACACCCACGTCCGTCATGCGCAAGATGACGGCCGAGAGCGCGCGTGATAAGACCGCTGCTGATAAAACCAACGAAGCGTGAGTCACGCTAACCTTAATATGTATTAATGCACCTTTAGCCTTATTTATGTGCACGTTCTGAACATGTAAGGCTGGGTCAGTAGTAGGTCAGTAGTGGCTAGTACCACTTCAAATGAACTGCTATTAATTATCGTGCTACTGGACTTGTATACAAGGTACCTCCATGCTTCTAAATATCTTGCTACTGGACTAACATACAAGGTTACAGGCCAGAAGTAGCCTATATACGAGGCTAATAGCACGGTAAGTAGTGATGGTATTTTAAAGTTGTATTGGCCGCCACTTCTTGCCGTTTGCAAGCTCCTTTATTCCTGTACTCATTTCATTCCATGAATTAGATCATTAACTGCTACCGGGTTTGCTGGTCTCAAAATATACTTTGGATCTTGTATCAAATCCAGGCGGTGTAAGTAATTAATACAGTGTAAGTATTTAATATAAAATGTAATTTATTTAGTATGGCAGTGTAAGTATTTAATAAACTTACTGCAGAAGTGAAAGAAAGATAAATTGAAAGTATTTGTATGTTTTTAGGTCTACAACTGCGGCGCCCACGGCTCTGGGTGAACAGCAGCCATGCAACGCTGCGTCTTCCATCGCCACGACCTCGAGCGGCTACATCGCATCTCACCCTCACCCATCCTCCATCTCGCACCATCCCGGTAAAACCTTCATTCACTTCTCCATTCATTTTTTTTTATTTACTTTTTGAATATTCATATCGTGGTTTGTTTGAAACTTTGCATGTATGACACACACATACAAGCCACCCAGAACATTGAGCATGGATTTCTATACAAATGAACGAAGAAAAATTTGTCATTCTTTTCATATGATGTGTCATATGTATGATGTGTAGTTGTTCACAATGTCATATGTATGATGTGCAGTTGTTCACAATTCTTAGTTTTAGTAACTTACTTCCTTACGATTCGAAAAATTCATAGCTAATTCAATCGTCTGTGTTGTTTGCTATGCTGCTAATCTTAAGCTATTATTGAATGCTAATTGAATGTGTTAATAAAATATCATCATCATAATCGTTAACTGTACTGCAGGGAACCAATTACTTGGACCCAAGAGCCAGCAACTTGTGATGAACGCTGGTGGTAACCCCAACATGGCGGGGATGATGCGCAACCCTCCTCCTGGTCACCCCCACCTCAACACTGGAGGCTTCCTTCAACCCCACCATCGACCCCCACCCAACACCATGCCTAACCTCAACCTCCGCCACCACCATCCTGCAATGGGTTAGTACTATCACTTCTTGCTGCTTCTAAACATTCTCCTATTTAAGTTCAAAGTTTTATTTGTTATTCTTTGCTCAAATACTTGAGGCAAAAAGGACGTACATTGATTCAACTTGAAAACTAAACTTTACATAAAATTTTGAATTTTCTGACTAAGAGCCTCCCACCGACTTACACCACAGTGCGCTTGCCACGATTATACTAATATTGCTACGAGCTCGTAGAATATAACTTGATGTGGTATTCTTGTTGCTGCAGGAGTGCTGTCTCACGCACCGAGCTACAACCAGCACCTGCTGAGAGGACAGCCTCAGCACGCCATGCATCGCTCAGCAATGAACTCTTCCCTTCACCCGCTCTACAACAACAACAACTCTAACAACAACAATAATAACAACATTCCGTGCACTACTCAACAACAAATGATGTTCAAAACTCCTGGTAAGTAACCTAATCTGTGTATATGTTTCTTAGTTTGCTTGAGGCCCTATATCAGTGGACAATTCATGTTTGAAATAATTCTGTGTTCGAAATAAGCGTGTGGGTTCATTCAAGGAAAGCTTTTTTTATCATCCAGAAAGAATATTCTTCTAATAACTGACAATTAACTTTTGTAGATAATAGTTTCAGTGAGATAATGTCAGGGTGCCAAAACTCTTCATGAACTATGGGCTATCAAACTGTTAGTGTTTCTTTTGATGTCTCATTTGTTACGTTTGAGCAGATATCAATGAGAACTCGTTCATATTTACCACTGAACTCAACTTATTAATGACATTTGCCTGAAATTCGCCCCCTTAGCTTCTCATAGGGAAGATTATTTTACAAGACATGCCCCCACGCTAACATTACAATTAGCGAAGCTCATCACATGGACAACAATTTTTTGAAATTCGCCCCCTTATCTTATCATATTAAAAAAACTTCCATGAAATCGTTCCCCCAAACTCATGGTACTCTCTGCAATAACTGCAGACGACCAGGCCTGTAATTTTGCGTGTCGCTTGCAGGCTGCCGCCAGAGCCCCGTGCCCCCCGGTGGTCTGAACCTAGCGCAGCTGTTGGGGGGCGACGTGCTGGCCCAGGCGCAGGCAGGGGCCTTGCCCCAGCTGCCTGGGGGCAAGGCACTCAGGGTCGAGGAGATCGAGAAGCAGCATCACCCAGCACACTAAGTTAATGGCATCACCAGTCACACTGAACTTAACGTGTGACATCAACAGTCACGCTAGAAACAACGTGTGGTCTGCAACACACCGGCATTTGAATGTGAAGTTAATTTCGACGTGAGGATTTGGTCGTATAACTACAATTTATGTCGTCGTGTCTGCCTCGCCAAGTCCTGCCACCTATCAATATCAGGAACAACTGATCACAGTCGCCACGTCTTTTATACTAAATACACGAATCTGAAATGAGACAAATTTCGTTTTGCAACTCTTGGGTACTCGCGGCTCAGTACTCAGTACACTCAATTAACTACAGTACACTCGCCTTGAACCTATGAAAAATAATGACCAGTGTTTGGAGTCGTATGAAAATTTTTTTCCATATCACAGACGGCTTGTATACTTACAAATCTTACACATTTTATATCTGATAAGCCAATTCTAATGTTGAGTCAGGTTGATAACAAAGCAGTGAGCCCCCGACGAAGTATCTTCTGGTTTGGGTCTACAGCTTCCTCAATCCGAGGCGCTAGGATCTGGAACGCTTGGAAACTAAGGACGTGATTAACACGTGTATGGGTTGTCATGTAGTGGGCATCTCTAGAGGGCCCATTTTTGTTGCAATAGAGAACCATGACTGTAGGCTACGATGTGAAAATTAATCAGTTCGATAGGTGCATTGGTAGTATGTTCGCTTATACGTGGATTATGAAAACGCTTCTGCAATGCTTATTACTTGGAATGAACGAACAAAACTGACAACTTGTTTGCCGTAAGTCAACGGAAGAATAATAATGTAATGTTAAGGCCGTAATGTTTACTGCTCTACCTGCACGCTGGTGCTGGATGATTGCGTCTAATGGGCAATCACTGAGTTTCCCTCCTTGCTTGCTGTGCTCGTGTCGATGTATCCTAGTCCTTTCTTATTAATTTGTCTCGTGGCGATGGAGGTGCGCTAGCAAATATATACGTGCGTTCTAGTGAGTGCAGTTTCATCACTCTTGCATTCCTTAACAGATATTATTTGATTAGAATTTGTCGGTTGAAGTTTTAATGGCAGCTATCCAGTTTAAGTCATCTATCAATAACGAGTTTTCAGTGATAACGATGCACCAGCATTGCAGCTGGTGTTATTACTGTCCCTGTTCTTCCCTAACCGAACTATTTCATTGGTGTTTTTTGATAATGCATTTCTTGTGTTGAGGAAGCCATATGAATGAAAAGTTGTGCAATGCGAGTCTAATGTGTATTTTCCTTGATTCCAAATCACGAGTTCCTAACCCAGCCAAGATGCAGAATTTCTACCCAAAACTGAATTGATACTCTGGCGTGCCATGAAATTTACGCTTTTTTCATCTCAGTGACGCCTGAATTCTTAATTTGGCATATAATAAACAGAAGCTATGTTTTCAGTTCAGTGTAGTCCCGCTCTGGACGCACTCCTGAGCTTATTTTAATTCGTTAATTTCTTAAAGAAATTTGCACGCGCGTCCCGTCGCTGCTGAGCTTCTTTGTGTGTTGTTCTCTTCGTGCTACGGCTGCTGTTCTGTTCGAGTTTTTGAATTTTTGAACTCTTGATGTAAATAATTATTAAATATACCTTTATAAATAAATATATCTATATATATTTGCTTATATAAATCAAGTGATTTTGTCTCTCATTAGTTTCTTGTTGGCATATTGTGTGCTGTGTAGCGCATGTGTACAAAGTGGCCTCGGTCGTCTATTTACTTTAAGCTTCGTCACTCATTAATTCTTATGTATTGTATGCTTGGTTGTCGTGCGTAGTGTTCCGTAGATTCCAGTGATGTTAGAAATTAAGTGAGAAGAAAAGGAACCACGGCAACCTTAAGCATGTAGACTTTATGGCGGGCAGTGTTCGCCTCTGTGGGCTTCCTGTCAATGGATGGGTTAACGATCCTTGTTTCTTTTTTTTGTTATATTAGTTCTTACTCCACTAATGTATAGAGTGAACATTTCTTTTTTATAGGGTGAACATTTCTTTTTTATAGGGTGAACATTTCTTTTTTATAGGTTGAACATTTCGTATTTTATAGGGTGAACATTTCATACTTCACTTTACGGTGTGAACAGTTCTTACTTTACTTTATGGTGTGAAAATTTTCATTCAATTTTGGGCATCATTCGATCAGCCGCTTTGACATACTATATATTTTTGAAGTTTTGCTAGATTAAATTTACGGATTTTTCACGGAACACAGTTCTGTTAAGAATAATGCCCAAGTTTATATTCTGCAATTGACGTATGCAATTGATGACACTAGATCTTGGCATGTAACAGCTACCTGAGTCTTTCCTTCGGTTGATTGAAAATCGTTACCACCTATGAAGCAAAAAGGTATTTAATAAAATTCGCCCTTATTTACTTTTTCTTATCTGAATAACATATGCGAGGTTGTAAGTCATTTACTGCTAAAGTTTTATTCTTCTTCTTATTTGTCTGTGAGATTTCCCTGCCTCTGATTGGGCATCACTCTCCAGTCGGAGACGCATGGAAGTAGCAGTATAGCCTGAGTTCATAGGCTCAATTTCTTTCATAATCTTTATGTAATTTGAATAACTGTAGTACGGTGTATTATAAGGACCAAAATAGAGTGGAGAAAGTCTGAGAACTTTTAGTTTTAGTTATTTGCAAACCGTACGAATAAATGAGCACTTTTAATGGGAATTAATCTAATTTATTATCTTCATCTCAATATTGACTTGTAAAAAAATTTCATTCGATACTTGAGTTCGTCGTTTGAAGCCCTCGCATTAAGGTCATGACGTTACTGAAGGAATAAATATAATAAAGAGTTATTTCTAAGCTGTATTTACCTCGGTATACATAGTGGCTGTTTTGCCGGTGTTTCTCTCTTGATAAGCTAATTCCTTGATGAATATGTCACGTACACACTCGCTTGTGACAGAACCCTGCAATAAGTCAGTGTAAGATAGCCTTGTTTGCTGCTACTTCTTTGCTTTGTCAGTACCTACGGGAGTATTGTGGCTTCCTTATCTCCTCATGGTGTGTATCTCGGGGCCATCGATGTATCTGAGGCAAACTTTCGCGTCCTTCTGGACAACATCATCGAATGTTACTTTGATGCACATATATATCATCTACATTGCATGGATGTTGGTTTGCTGCATCATCTGTATTGCACGGATGTTAATTTGCAGGTATCATCGACAAGAAGGCTGTATTATAATGATTATTTTAGTAAAATAGTGTATCTCAAATTTGAGTATTGAGTTGAGATCCGGACTCTCACGTATTGTATGGTGCGCAACGGGCCGTGTTTTTTTCGGCTGACTAGGTTTACACTTATTCTTATGAGTATGGCTGTCTATTAAGAAATTCTATTTATTATATAAAACCAAATGCGTTGTGTGATGTCACAGGATGTCAATATGTACCTACCATTACGTTTAAGCATCTCTCACGACTTCGTTTAAGTAGTAACCGAATGAAGACTTATTTTTGTAAATTCTAGAGCATAAGGTTTACTGCGTGGGCGAAAACGTCTTCTGAACGCGCCATTTACTGCTCTTTACTTGGAACTCTGCTGCTGCTACTGCTGCTGCTGATAAATGTGATATGCAATTACTTTGATTTGCTTTATTATACTGGGGCTCACTGTGAGTCCCCTTTTAGGCTAACTAAAGTGAGCTTTGTAGCTCACTATCAGTTGAACCTCACTGACACTCTAAGCACTCGCTTGCGCGTGCTAATCCTGCTCGATTTTGTTAAATGTAGGTAGTTTTGTTCTAATATAGCTCTGATGATATCTAGGTAATTGGCAAATATTTGCAGAGTTTTCATTGAAATTTGGTTGTTATCAACAGTGGAATAATCTGTACCTATGAGGACGATGACTATTACGCGTCTCGACGTATGAGCGGAGATGTAGTGATGTTTTCTTGGTATATTTTATTTTTGAACTCGACTGAAATTTTTGATTGGCTGCTCCTCTGTGCGTGTTTGACGTGCTAGCTTCGTAACCATTTCCAGCAGCAGTAGCAGCAACAGGGGTAACTACTGAATTACCGTTCCTGTTGTCGCTGTCCAAGCAGTCGACGTGTTGGATGTTTCAGAATAGCTCTCTCGTGTTCCTAGGTGTGCTTCAATGAGTGATGCTCATTGGTCCTTTCTAAGACTTTATACTACAGTGAGAGTCTCGCCAGTCTTCTGACCACCATGCTGTGGTTCACTACAACCCAGGCACTCGTACATACAAGCACTGTTGTCATAAACCTTACACCAGACTTCACCCATGATCTGTTGTCATAACCCTTACACCAGACTTCACCCATGATCTGTTGTCATAACCTGTACACCAGACTTCACTCATCCCCTGTTGTCATAAACCTTGCACCTAACGGCATTCAAGTTCTGTTTCTCGCCGAGAATCAGAAACTTGAAATTCAAATGTTCACTCCAGAAGGAGATGTCGCTAGAGTGATCACAAGACGTTGTGTAGAGCAGAGCGCCTCTGGAATGTTCTAGCTCAGACATTTACAGTAACTCCAGATACTCGAGTACGCACGCCAAATCCTGAAGCCTGAAGACGAATCAGTTACCATGTCTGTTGCTCTCATTGTAGTACAAAATCTTTGCTTCATTGACGACGTAGTTTAATAAAGGAAGCTCAAATAGATAATATCACAATCTTCCTCTTCTCTTATCCCTTAGTAACAATCTTGATTTGTGTTAACTTTTATTTGTGCTGCACCTGAACTATAGGATCTGTTGTTGGCGTTCTGGTCTGAATTTCATGCTGGAAAGCTTGTTGAGTTTCCTTGCTCTGATCTGCTCAGAGCTCACTCTATTATTTATTTTCTTGGCTTGGTGTGTAGTGCAGTGTTTCTTAGAACTGTGATCTCTGTCATCGCGGCAGACCTATAACTTATTTTGCTGTCTTACCAGAAAATTACTGGTTGCTCTGCGTGGATTGTCGTCAGATTTATAGTTCCGTGTTGTCTCATTATTTTGAAGTTCATCTCAGTTTTGATGTCAACAGTGTGAGCAAGTTTCGGACATTACCACTTATTGCTGATATTTATAAGGTTCTAATGATTAAGATGCTTTAGAAATAGCGTGTCCTTTATTGGTGTGTTGTAGCCACCGTTATGTGCGTCATCTAAGTTTCTAAACTCGAAGGAAGGCGTCTCGGGTGGTGGTGTGGTGTCGATGGTTGAGGCGCAAGTGTTGTGATTCTGCTGCGCAATATTATATTTTAAACTTGAACCTAAAAGTTTAGTATATGCACTGAACACTATTGTCAGTTTCTTCAAATCCTCGCTAATGATTTAGATTCCATAACGCTACTGATTAACTAAATCTTGAATTGCTACCGATTCCAGTTAGTGTAATTCACACTACGCCCGTGTGTCATCTGCTTGCAATTTGTCGTTCGCGGGTGACCTCGTTTTGTCTTGTGCATTACTTAGACTTGCCACGTGTCGATATGTAGCAGCATTACCAACTTTGACGTGTCGAGATTTAGCAGCATTACCAACTTTGACGTGTCGAGATTTAGTAGCATTGCCAACTTTGACGTGTCGAGATTTAGCAACACTATCAACTTTGACTTGTCGAGATTTAGCAACACTACCAACTTCGACGTGTCACGTGTACAAACGTAGCTGAGGAACTCTGTTCTCTGGTCGACGCGTCTTTGAAGGTTTATTTGGTTATGGTACTTTGTCTCGTCGTTTAATTCGAGCTGTAGAATTAAATTTATTCGCCTTCTACCATAATCTCGTGTCAAAGTTAAGAAATCTTAACGAAGTCCACTAAGTGTAGTAAAGTTGTCATTCCATTCATGTGCAGTTTTGGCAGTCACATCATCTTGTCCAGCTTGTGTGCGTGCTCGTGTCTGGTAGAAGCTTGCTTTTCTCTACTCGTTCATATCAAAGTAGACGACGGACAACTCGGTGTGTATGGTTTGCTGTTTAAGAAAACAAGTATTGTTGGACCAAGATTTTCTTGCCGTATGAAAATTGTTAGCCATTGATAATTTTCGTATTTTTGGTATTTGTCCTTTGCGAATCAATATCGAAATATTTTGTATACTTTTCATTTCGAATATCTCGACATCTATTTACTTCTCTCATTCCAATGAACTAGAGTTATCCACACATCAAATTTGGCTCGGCTGTACTTGCCATTACTAGTGTACACATAGTTCGCTGATGCCAGTCTCCATTTGCTAGCATAATTTTCAGAGAATCAATCTCTGAAAATTAGCGCGCGGTGATAAATCAATCGTCACGTACCGCGCGATTCCTTGTCAAATTTAATCATTTAATTTCTGGCCAAGTTTAACCATTTCTGCGATCATCTTCTTGGTTCTCGCAGTGCGACTCCTGACAGCCATGAATTTTGGACTTGAAATGTTCTGTGCCGCGTTAATACGTCACGCGCCGTTCAAAAGTTTCGTAAGAATGAATATTGCATGTTGGTTCAAAAGCCCTGTCGAAAAAATATTTCCTTTTTCAACCTAGACACTTTCATTTGTTAATTACCTTTGCGTTGGTAATGATATAAATATAAGTACTAATCTGGTGCGTATTGGTCCAAAAAGAAATTATATTCATGGTTATATTAACGAGTGGATTTGTCCTTATCCACGTGTGTGGATAGTGATTCGTCTAAACGGTTTGTTGTTATGACTGGTCGTTTTGCGGCGTGTTTGAGTTAGGCCAATTGTACTCTGTACGGCCGTTCTCGTCTCTATGTCTGTTAGACGTCCTGTTTGTTTTGACTTCGTTTGTATTTCTAAGTCACCGCATTTTTTCCAAAATTCTTCTTTCTCTACACGCGCCTAAAAATAATTTTTAGATGTTCCTGGGAATTCAGCGCAGATTCCCATTTAGTGAAGTTCCAGTGTGTTCCTGTTCGGAGACTTCCGTCTCGTCGTAATTTGGTGGCCGAAACTTGTATTTATTCTAGAATGGTGTCTTGTAACTTACTTCTTAGGTGTTGCCATGTGCATTTTTCATTTATTAGGAAACGAATAAATTCGCTGAACTTTGATCACCTTTAATACCCTATACAAATTATGTAGTAGAGTACCGAGTAATTCTTACATCTTGGCGTCAGAGCAACAGATTTGTCGAATTTAAATTAATTTTTCTAACCGTCAGCCTCTTATTTTTTGTTTTCACTTATGAAGCAGAAGTTCACAATGGCTTTTGTTCAGAGATCTACAGCGAACATCGCGCTAGTAAAGGCTTAATAATATCAGGAACGAAATTCAGACTAAGGAATAAATCAGACGACTTGCATCGCACATTTATTACGCCATGAAAACTAGCCTTACCCTTGATGCACTTGCGAGCCATCATGTTGATGCATGGGCGAGAGAATGTAACCCCAAGTCCAATGATGGGAACTTGTTACTAGGCTTCTTGGTACGAATAGCATTAACAACGTATATAGTATCCGTTGTCCCTTGATTCACTGGCAGGAATTTTTATCTCCCTGACATTTACGTACGAATATCATTGGCGACGACTAAAGTATCTGTTGATAAAGTTAACGCTTGATTGACAGGCGGTTATTCGATTCTCCAAACACTCGAGTACGAATAGCGTTGACGGCGTTGAAGTGATATGCTCTTAAAGTCAACCTGCAGTCGTGCGCTTCTTGCGCTGTAACTAATGACCACGGCCGTAGGAAGATAGCGGTCAACACTCAACAGCATCGCTGCTCGCTCAGTAACCAGGATGATCTCAGCAAGGGAGGTGAGCTTCAACTGACTGTCCTGCTCAGCCTAGCACAGCGTGGGCGCGTGCGAGTCTTGTCGTGACAAAATATCTCTGATATTGGAATCTACCGCACATTGAATGTTTAGTAGTATAGTAGAGTCGGTGTTCAAGAATAAGCGCAGTTTTGCCTGTCGCTGATTCTTGTCATGTTCTTGGCTTGTCAATATCGCCCTTAGACCTCGTGTGTTAATAAATCTATCATCTTAAAGCTCGACGATATCTTTCTCGCTGCTAGACTGTTGGAACCATAAGATCTTATTTACTAACTTTAATAATTGAATGGAGAATGCGTTAGTATGATGCCGATGAGCAGATCGGGAAAGCTGGTACCGCTATATCAGACGTGTGATCATAATTCCCTCTTTATTAAAATAAACAGTCAGAGAGATTTTAGAATTTTGTTACCTAATCGACTTCTAAGTCAAGTTTGGCTGTCATCTTTATTTGAAAACTCCCGTTCAAATCTCCATTTCTCAATTGACAATGATTCCTCCCCACATAAAATTTGTATATTTATTTATTTGATGAAGCAATTTAGCTTCAGTACATTTTAAATTATGATAAAATTCAATTTTTCATTCGATAATTAATGGATAGTCAATGGACTGTTAACTTAGCCCAGCGTTGCTTATAACATAATAGATTTTGGATAAATTTCTGGTCCACGCAAGATTTCTATAAAATTGGCATTATGAATACGCGTTAAATAGTCAATATATATCTTTAGTGGCAAGCTTCAAACTTACAATTATTTAAAAATAAATTATGGATAGAACATTCGAAAAATAATGCGATTTCCAATCTTATACTTGGATTTAAAATATCTTGAACGGCAATCAGATGTACTGTAGATTATTTATCGATCGATTATGTGATTAGTTAATATATTTATTGAATTATTTTGCTGTCTGCAGACCTATTGACTTTTCTTGTCATTGCTTCATCTATTTTTTATGGTTTCCTGATCCGTAGAGAATGAAGAAGTTCTGATGTGTTTGTAAGATATCTCATATTTTCAAATTCGATGTGTTTCGGGCGCCTGCAGCAGGGAAAGCTCGTGCTGACCTCGCTCGGTTAACAAAATATGGTGTATGTTGAAATAATATGCGTAGTAGTATAGTATTGTTTGTATTAAAATAGCACAGTAGTATAGTATAGTGTATTTTGAAATAGTACAGTAGTATAGTATTGTGCATATGAAAATAGTACGTTAGTATAGTATTGCGTATATGAAAGTAGTACAGTAGTATAGTATTGTTTATAGCAAAATAGTACGGTAGTATAATATTAGTTTTGGACGGCAAAATTTGGCTGATTTATACGCGTGCGATAAGTGACCAGATATTTTCTCTAAATTTTCGACTCTCTGATAATTTAAATCAACGAATTCAGTAGTAGTATCGTGTATAGGAAAATAGTACAGTACGGTAGCATAGTATTGTGCATATCAAAATAGTACAGTAGTATAGTACTGTGCATATAAAAATAGTACAGTAGCATAGTATTGTGCATATAAAAATAGTACAGTAGCATAGTACTATTGCGCATATCAAAATAGTACAGTAGCATAGTATTGTGCATATCAAAATAGTACAGTAGCATAGTATTGTACATATAAAAATAGTACAGTAGCATAGTATTGTGCATATCAAATAATACAGTAGTATATTATTGAGCATATAAAAATAGTACAGTAGCATAGTATTGTACATATCAAAATAGTACAGTAGTATAGTAAGAGTATAGTATCAACGTTGTAAAATTATGCAGTCTGAAAAGGTTCATGCCATGCTGTGACACTAAGGTAGCCATTGGTTCTTAACGCTCCGACCTACGGGACGCATCCGATGCAACACGGAAACTCGCTCTTATCCTTCACGGACCTCCGAACTTCTCCGGGATTCGTGGCTCCGCTCAGTGCGCTCCTCTTCCGAGCGCGAGGTCGAACGCGCGACGCGTGTAGGAACCAACCACCACTAACTTGTGGTCTTGATGGTCGAAACCTTCTGGATGGTCGTAACCTTCTGGATGGTCTTCACCTTCTGGATGGTCTTAACCTTCTGGATGGTCGAAACCTTCTGGATGGTCGAAACCTTTTGGATGGTCGAAACCTTCTGGATGGTCGTAACCTTCTGGATGGTCGTAACCTTCTCGATGGTCATAACCTTCTGGATGGTCTTAATCTTCTGGATGGTCGTAACCTTCTGGATGGTCTTAACCTTTTTGATGGTCATAATCTTGTGGATGGTCGTAGCCATTTTAATGGTCAAAACTATTTCGGTCGAAGCCATTTTGATAACCGAATCCATCTTGATGGTCGAAGCCCTTTCGATAATTGAAACAATTTTGATGGTCTAAACCTTTTAATTATCGAAACCATCTTGACGGACGAAACCATTTTGATGGTCAAAACCTAGCGAACCAACAGATAGTTTAGAGGCTTGCGGTGTTCGGCTTACGCGGTCACGAAAACAAAATTGCTAGAAAAATTGGCACGCAAGTCTCGTCACAGGAGCGGCAGGGGTCAAAAATCGTTGTCGTGTAGCTGATGTTGATCAACTTCTGACGATTGCGCCGTATTTGTCAGAAAAATCATACTATGATGACCTAAATTATTTACACTGGATATAAATCTTTCAAGTCAACATTTTCAAAATTCGTTCGATGTCGAATTAGACTTTTGACTATTTTATTTTCATTTACAGTATTGAGTTCTGTACTTCATTTTAGGTCAAAGGTAGCAAACCTAATGGCGTAATATATATATGGTGAACTCTGCGATGCATCGAAAGGAAAGCTTTGCAGCGTATTAAATGAATTATTTTCGACAAAATATCTCTGCATTAGTGTGAGAAATTTTTTTTTCTTCACATCTATCGCTTCAAGTGTTAAGAATTTGTTTTAACAAATTTTTCTCGGCAATTCAATCTTGTATGTTGCTACAACATAAGCAACTCACGAATAATCCCCTATGCCAAAACTGTGAAGGTCGCCATCACCGCATCGCTGAGCGAAGCACAGATTTCCATCGAAGAAGAATGCAGATGACCGAACACCGAAAGTTGGTTTCGAGGTCAAGTTTAGGCGCCGACAAGATCCGGGCTACCGCCGCCCGCATCTTGTCGGCGCTCAAGTGTGAACGATGGAGCGATGCGCGCGATGGGAGCTCTCGCTATCACGAACTCTCACTCTTCCTTGTCCGTGAATGCGTCTTGGTCCAATATTGATCATATTTCTTCAAATGCGCTGCAAACTATGTACTTATTTAGAGTCATGATGCCATTAATGAGAGTAGCAAGATTGTACCTTTTTAGTTGCCGTTCATTGTTGTGTCCCAGGGTTAGACCATATAGAACTTCATGGCAGAAAGTATCATGGATACCAGCTTTTTTGCAGTTCAAAATTTTTAATTTAAAATTTGGTGCCAAATTAAGTCACTTGTAGGCCGCTATGCCCTTGACACTGCTGCTCGATCGCTTGAAGGCGCAATTCACTTGCTGTGATTTTTAATATGTTTCATAATACTATCTTATTTCATCGAGTTAGCATGAAACAAAACCGGACTGTGTATTTGAAGAAATATTTTGAAGATTGTACAAAGAAGTTTCTTCGCTCAAAAGAATGGGCGTTTTAATTCTGCGTGTGAATCAATTTAACGTACGAATTTGTCGTGGCCATTATTGTGCATTAAGATGTATGCATTGCAGAATTATTCTCGGACTCGAAACATTCTTATAATTTGGTTCTAATTTGCTTTGTTCTTTTCTTTAGATGATTCTGCTGCTTCTACGAGCTTTGATTCTTTGCACGGCAAGTGCAAACGAATCAGCATCTCTTAGCCTCATCTCCGCCCCACCAAGCACGTTGAGAAATAATGAACTTGAACCTGCTACTTCTGTACCGACCGACCTGAACATTTCTGATGGCAGAGCGACTCAGTCACCAATGACAGATACCAATACTCAGTTACTAAGGGAACAAGCTACAGTGACGTCAAAAATGGAAGTTGGACTCCGAAGCATAGAGTATGAACCATTAGCGGAAATCCAAAATACAACATCATTGGAGTCTGGACAGAATTATATTGGCCAGTTGAGTGATAGTTTAAATGGGTTTACAACTGTGACTCATTTATCCGAAGCAACCGAACCCAACTTTCTTCCAGTGACATCTGTTGATATTGAGAACATAATATCTGTTGTTCCCGATGAGTATGAAAAGCCTGCCGAGGTTTTGGACTCGTTCATTGAGAACTCAAAAACGTCGGACGATAAAATAGGAAAATATATGGAAAAAGATACGTCACAGGTTTTTTTGACGAATCATTTCTCTCTAGGTGACGAATTGGCTGAAAATTCCACTAATGAGTGGGGAAGAACTCCTAATATCCTCGATGAGCTTATTATGCAATCAAACGCACCTTCAGACTTCATCACCACTCCTACACCAGCGATAACTGCATCCCAAGATAAAATCACTGACACGCCTTCAATAATATTGACTAAGAGTGAGATAAGAATGAATAAACAAAAAGAACAGGTAGATCAGTTTATTACAATGAATGAGACATCGACGGAACTGAACGGATCAACGATAAACAAGCCTCCTACCATTATACGGAGATTGCGGAATAAGCGCAGAAGAAATACACAAAAGCGCAATTCGTTGCGTCCAAGGAAAATTAATTCTAATTACACCCCCAGATTCAATTCAGTTCGAACCGAATATACGACGAATTCCGTCTCGATTTTAGCCGATATACTGGATAAGCAGAAAACTTTAGAACCCGAAAGCGAACATATTGCTTCCCCTGATTTGGATAAACTAGTCAAAGATGAAGCCAATACCATCACAAAAGAGCAAATTGAGGCCGAAGGAGAACCTTCATTCAAAAGAAGTTCGCTGCCATATTACAGCGAAAAGTACGATCATCCTCGGGAGTTGTTGGTGCCTGGCAGAATTTTAGACGTGAAGCCAAACTTCTCGGAGAATAAATTCCTTGAACTAAAGAATCCTGATCGAGGAACCAAAAAGTTTCAGCTTGGTTCACTGCTTAGCGATGATACGGTGGTACGGGGAACGATGGTAACAACAGCAGGATCTGTAGAACCGGGATCTGATAAAACATACGGAACTCAGGCTGAGCAAAATCTATGTTCAGAAAACAAGGAAACGTGTGTTCCAGCATTCAACGTAGATTCAACCTTCAGCCCAATTGGGGAGTCAGGTTTTCAACAAATGAGTCCTGGAATTGAGTCGCAGTTGAACTCAATACCTCAAAATATTCCGAAACTTGAAGACAACGCCTACGGCTATCCTGATGCACATCGTGCACTTTTGTCCAGAACGGCGACAAGTGACCCTTTGAAAACAGGAATTCCAAAAAATTCAAATGAATATGATGTTCATGATGAAGTTTCACCTGATATGCATGAACCTACATCGAGAGGGAGAAGCATTTCGTCTGCTGATTTATCAGAGACTTACGAGAGGAAGAGAGTAAAAGAAATTTTATCATTCGATTCGCCAGGGTCCATTGAGGTCCACCTCGATCTCAACGAGGATCCTGGAATTGATGAAAACAATGTTGAATTCGATGAAGAAGATGTCGTTCCTGAGCTTGAGAAAAAGGGGAAGCAGTTCGGCTTCCCGGGCCAAGCCTACAATTTTCTACCGCTGGGCCCAGGGCCTTTACTAGGGGGCGCACCACCACCTATTCGACCGGAGATTAACTCCCCGAGGCCCTCTCGAGGCCGCTACTCGTATCGACCGCCCCAGCATATTTACGATCCGGTGAGTGACGCATTGGAATCTGTCGTTGCATGAGATGCTAGTTACTTTTGATATTCTGAAAGGGAAAGCCTATACGAAACATAAATAAAATATCGCCATGCTTCTATCCATTGCAACCCAAACACGATTTCATCTATGGTTTCAACTGTACACGCTCTTGATTTTTTTCATGTGAACAAGAACTAATCGAGACATTGCCGTAAAAGTGTTTATCATAAATGTGTAAAAAAAAATCAAACATGTGACCAAGCAGCTCCTATTCCAATTTAGACGCTCAATCTGGCATTAATATTTAATATTGGGCAATGGGCAGGTTAGCCCACTGGTTACAGTTCAGAGTACCAAGATTGACGCAGAGAGGCGCGGGTTCGATCCCAGCTCTGTGCGCCAGTTTCTGGTCAGAATCGGCGGGGAGGCCGGGCGGTTAAGCACAGCAGAATTGTAGCAGTGAGTTGCGAGTTCGAGACCTCAAAATACTGTGAATGTTCTGCGATGTTAAGAATCGGCGACAGGCCTACGGCCTTATAAACGCTGAAACCGCTATTATTATTATTATTATTATTATTATTAATATTATTATTATTTATATCCTGCAAACGGTTTGCAGTGGCCATAATTTAATTATCTTTATTCAGCAATTTACAACCATAATAATCACTGCAATCAAACAAACGCTCGCCTCTCGCGTGGAAGTGTTAACAATTAGCGGTTGTTTACTCCGCAATCCCTGCGCCGCTGTGCATCTTAGCGAAAGTGATGACGCTAAGGGGGATATTAGCAGTGGGGTGATTGATGCGTCGAGCGCAACGGCTGGGGTAGAAACCTTTTGTAAACGGTTAATCTGTAAGGCCTTTACGTATGAATAACATTGACGACGGTTAGTGTATCAGTACTGAAAATATTGACGCTTTGGCTAACTGTGGGAAACTCTAACTGCCCAGCATGTGGCACGAATAGCATGACGATCGTTAGTGTATCAGTAGACTAATGGTTGAATAGGACTTTTAATAATAATTGGCTTCAGGCTAATATAGAAAAATAGATTAACGATATATAGTAAAAATATTATCTCTTAGTGCACTGATTTTCACTAATTTATTTATTTATTTTTATTTTAGGGTCAAATGTATATAGAGATGAATTACATTTACATACACATTATTTAAATGTGTATTACAGATGCTATTACTTCATATAGATGCCACATGTTTTAATATTGGGGCAATATTAATTCATTTAAATGAGCTACCGATTGCTTGGAGTTAAAATACAATAAAGTATAGGTGTATAGCTCACGCAAGTAGGCAGGGTGGCCCAGTGAGTAAAGGTTAGGTACAGAATTGAAGCAGTGTTGCGTGTTCGAGACCCGAAATAAGCCGTGATAATTCTGCGATTTTCAGAATCGCGTACAGGATAAATCTGCAACGCTGATTATTTATTATTATTATAAATTAAATAGCCCGACATGGGGTCGTGTTGGAAAGTTTTCAACAATAAAACATGGAATAAAGCGATGCGAATGTGTTACGGATTGAAAAACTTGCGATTTCCGGGCACGCCTTTCAATTACGCTGGAGAAAAATGACATAAGTGAAAGGTGAAAGCTAGGAGCAGCCTTATTGCTTTCAGTAAGAAAGTAACTGAGCAGCGAGCGGTGTAAAATTGTTCATTGCAGGCCTGAAGGCACGCTCTATATATAGGTAATTCAACACTCGAGTGCGAGCTCGCTAAATAAACAAGCTTGCACGTTCATGGCGCAACACAGATTCTATGAAGGTTTTACGCTTTTTTATCTAGTTTAAATTATTCTAGATATGAGAAATTTTATTTTCGATAATCTGCATATTGTAGTAGTAGGTATAGTATAGTATCTTCGGCATTAAAGAATGGGCCTGGATAGGCCTGTCGCCGATTCTTGTGCTTTTCTTGACTAGACTGGCCTTTTGATCAGATCTTTTCAACCGACTGTAGATTTAAAATCGATTCTAGATATCAGTTGTTCCGTAGGGTACGAGGCATTTTAAGACTAAACATATGCTCTTGCATGGCCTTGTCTAGNTAACCCCACAACTGTCCTGCCTATACAACGTAACCCCACAACTGTCCTGCCTATACAACGTAACCCCACAACTGTCCTGCCTATACAACGTAACCCCACAACTGTCCTGCCTATACAACGTAACCCCACAACTGTCCTGCCTATACAACGTAACCCCACAACTGTCCTGCCTATACAACGTAACCCCACAACTGTCCTGCCTATACAACGTAACCCCACAACTGTCCTGCCTATACAACGTAACCCCACAACTGTCCTGCCTATACAACGTAACCCCACAACTGTCCTGCCTATACAACGTAACCCCACAACTGTCCTGCCTATACAACGTAACCCCACAACTGTCCTGCCTATACAACGTAACCCCACAACTGTCCTGCCTATACAACGTAACCCCACAACTGTCCTGCCTATACCTGTCTCTTATACACATCTAGATGTGTATAAGAGACAGACTTTAGCTTGTGATGAAATTAATATTCAAATTCATTGTTCAATATCGTATGTTCATGCATTTATTTATATCTGTTATGTATGTTTGTTCGTGCAGTTATCATTCCCTTAAAGTCCAGTATTTAACATCTATTTGTCTACGCGGAAAATTTTAACTTGTCTTTTATATTTATATACTATGCTTGCGCACAGGTCAGCTACGACGACAGGTACAACCATGGGTACAACTTCGGGTACGGCGTGGCAGACGACAACACGGGAACGTACTTCGGGCAAGTAGAAAACCGGCAACAAGGTGTCACTCAGGGCCAATATTTTGTGGACCTACCAGATGGAAGAAGATTGATAGTAAGGTACTACGCTGACCGTACTGGATACTACCCAACCATCACCTATGAACAAAAACCAGGATTCTATGTTACTGAGTCTCCTCAGCAATATCCCGACTACTTCAATCCTGTCAATGGGAACAGGTATCCTTCAAGTCGGTATCCCGTTTCCGCAGATAACAGTTACCTCTATAATCTAGGTCCTGGTCACGGTATCGTCAATGACCAACACTTCGCAGACAACCATGGCTTCCATTTTACTTCTGCAGGACCCGATCACTCACACGACGCAGATGGACCAGTTTTCGGATTTGATAGGAGGCCAATATCAGTTTCTTCGTCTGGTATCGTTCCACCCAGCGTGATAGACACTTCCACCATTCCTCCAAATTTCGGCAATAGCTTTTCCCCAAGCCAGCCTATTTACCCTTTCTACTTGCCAACTCGGTATCCTTACAACCCCTTCTTTGTTTTTGCTGCACCAGGACAGATCTTTTCTCAAGTTCCATTCACATCCAGCTCGAATCCAACGTTTGGATTAGACCAGCCTTCATTCGCATCAGATAAGCCCGCTTCAGTACCAAACTTTGGCATTAATCCAACACTAGTAAATAGGGAACAAAGATTAAATTCCTTCCGTCCGATCTCGAACGACAAATTTGGTTTCTTGACCAGAAATTCAGAAAACGAGCAGCACCTTACAGGCACCATCGAGGATCAGATCAAAGGCAGTAAAAGGAATTCGGATTTTAATAGAGTGGGAAATGATGAAGTTAACGCTCAGCACGGTAAAACCATTGCCTCAACTTTGTCTTTTGAAGAAACTCCCGACTCCTTCTTCAACGAGGAGTACTAGTTTATTTATGATTTTAACTTGAAATTTATTGAGGAAAAGTACTTAATCAATTTTAAACTTTATTTATAATACTTCATCAGTCAACGAAGTGTTTGACGTAAAAAAAGCAAACTATGCACACGGTCTTGATTCAAATCCGTGATAAGTTAATACAGGCCGTATATTTTTCAGAACATTGGTACGGGTTCGATTGTGAACTAAGGTAATCTGAATTGTATAATACTAAACAGGATGCTGCTCTAAGTCTTCTAAAACTAAAGTTGAGCTAAAATTCGTTGAAAGTGTTAGCCGCAACCCTAGCCGCTCGTTTCAACAGCTACCTAGACTAATCTGTTAGAAGTTCTGGGGGCGGAAAAAATCTCGCAAGTTATTTCCCGAAGAGGTTATACAATTCCTGACTATTCAACATAATAGAGATTTTCATTTGTACAGCAAGCAAGCAAGCGAGGTGTATTGGAAGACCCATTTACCAAGTTTAAGCTAATAATATAAACTAATAATATAAATCTTATAATTGAAATTACCATCAATTACGGTAATTACATTCGTAAAATTAACGTTAAGTCCTGTTCTGGCTTCCTTTAACTCAAACCTAAACGTGAGACTTGAGTTAACCTTATTTTAATTCACGATTGAGCGATGCAGTACCAATTTCAATCGAGTTCACTTTCTAAGTTTGATTATGAACATAACACTTAAGTAGTTCTAAGTTCAGGCAAAAAAATCAGTGATATACCATATTGAGTAATCGCGAATCCCACAGCTTCCTGTAGCGTTTAGCTTACGTTGCAACAAATAAAACGATTTTCCTGACAATTTTTATTGGACAAGCTAGAAAGAACGTAAACAAGGTGAAAAGAAATGAGAAAAACTGTGAAAAGCAAAACACAAGCGGTAAATTTTCCTCCGTAGAGTGTGATAACAACTGGACATGATTTTTTAGATTTAAGACAACTCGTCGAAATGAGAATTCATGCTCAAAAGTAGTGTAATGGTGAAACTGCCCTGCCTATATAACGTAACACCACTACTGCCTTGCCTATACAAATTAACCCCACGAACTGCCCTGCCTACACAACAACTCAACCCACTACTGCTCTGCCTTTACAACTTAACCCCACAACTGCCCTGCCTTCACAACGTAACTTCAAAACTGGTCCGCCTATACAACTTAACCCCAAAACTGCCCTGCCTATACAACGTAACCCCACTACTGCTCCGCCTATACAACTTAACCCCAAAACTGCTCCGCCTATACATCTTAACCCCCAAAACTGCCCTGCCTATACAACGTAACCCCAGAACTGCTCCGCCTATACAACTTAACCCCACAACTGTCCTGCCTATACAACGTAACCCCACAACTGTTCTGCCTATACAACGTAACCCCACAACTGTCCTGCCTATACAACTTAACCCCACAACTATCCTGCCTATACAACGTAACCCCCACAACTGTCCTGCCTATACAACGTAACCCCACAACTGTCCTGCCTATACAACTTAACCCCACAACTGCTCTGCCTATACAACTGAACCCCACAACTGCCCAGCCTACACAAATAATGTACCCGAAAATATTCACATAATAACTTTTTTTGCACATAGAATCTCCAACTGCAAAAACACGCAGCTGTTACGACCGAAATGGTTGCGGCGTGGATGTGCATAGAGGCTGTAGGTACATCTCTGTAACCATCAGCCGAGTAGGTATTAACTTATAGATTAGTCAACTTATCTAACTCATAGACCTCTAAATAAAAGTTCATTGAGGCTGTAGGTACATCTCTGTAACCATCAGCCGAGTAGGTATTAACTTATAGATTAGTCAAACTATCTAACTCATAGACCTCTAAATAAAAGTTCATCTTCGCAGTTGGTTTCACTATCATAAACTGTCGTGTGTAGCAATCGAATTCCTTATGCCATGACACATAATTTATTGTTAGACAGGAGGTCAAGAGCGAGATTAAAGCTGAGAAAATATCTCTTAAAGCTCCGATAATAATAAATATTTGATCAAAATAACGCAACTTAAAGCAATATTAAGAGCACTTTAATGCTTTTGCAAATGGACGTTTACAGCCAAAGGCATCTCAGTTTATTTGTTCCTACCAGTAATTTGGCAATGGCAGCTTCTTTACTCGCCGTCTAAATATACTAAATGACAAATGTAGCCAAGAAAATGTCCCGTACTATATAACTCGAGTATGGATACTTCGATCAATAAGGCAAGTTAGACAACAATATAACAACACTAGCGGGAATATGCGGGGATTCCATTAGAGCCACATCATAATAACGGGACTAGAACGAAAGAAGGTTGAAACATTTGGAATGAAGAACGAAGATTCGAGTATGAGATTGGTCACGTTTCAGCTGCCATTTTATCAAGATGATATCTTTGACCCTGCACTCGGAAGGCTCTGAACGAGGCGAGAGCACCCACAGCCGATAGAATAATGAGACAGGGCACCACGGCCGTCCAGCCCCAAGTGGTGCCCACCCAGCCAACGATTGGTCCTTGTATTACCGCCCCTAAAGAACCCATGCCGTTAATTACACCGCTCACCGCCACCCGGGCGTCATACTGAACGCCCAGGTCGGCGGCAATAGGACCAGTGAGCAAGATGTCTGTGGCTGAGTTGAAGAGACCTGCTAAAAACAGCAATATCATGTGCATACTTATTCCTAAATGCCCACTCATGGTAAATAATCCTAAGAATACACATGTAAGAATACTAGTCATGTAGGAAGCAAAAAAATTGTTTGAACGGAAAAAGTAGCGAACCAATAAATCATTTAGAAGACTACCAACAACACCTCCTATGTCATATGCAGTAGAGCCTATACCTGCTGACATTGTCGAGTAGTTAAGACCTTTTTGTAGAAACATTGGCAGCCACAGCAGCACTGCGTAACGCACGCACTTACTGCATACAATACTAAAACAAATCTCAGGTAGCAGCTGTAGCTTCATTACCTGGAAGAAAGTCAACGATTCGCTTGATTTTGCTAATTTATCCTTACAGTCTTGGTCATCAGAATCAACTGGGAGCAATTTGTATTCTTTAGGTGATTTTGCTAGTAAAATAACTAAGAGGCCACATGCACCAGGAATGATTGCACAATATATGAATATGCTCTGCCACTGCATCACCTCCAGCAAATACACAGCCAAATAAGTGGCTAGAACACTTCCACCAAATGCACTGGTGCCAAAAATTCCAAATGCAGAGTTACGCTCTGAATGATGAAACCAATCTGTTAGGATGGAGCTACAAGTAGGCCAGCCTAGAGCTTGTGAAGCACCAGTTACAAATAATAAAAAGAAAATGGAATTTAATGATGAAACTTGGCCAATTAATGCAAAAGAAGTAGCTCCTAAGCACAACCCAGCCCCAAGGACCATACGAGCACCAAATGAATCTGCTAACCAGCCTATGGTGAGAGAAAAAACAGAGTAGGGTAACAAAAGGGCTACATCTAAGAAGCCTATGATAGTCAAATCAACCCGAAATTCAGACATCATGTGAGTTTTGACAAGTGCCAGTGGTTTACGAAGAAGATAGCTACTTGAATAAGCCAACCACAATAGGGCTAAAATAAGATAACGACTGGAGTGTTTAGGAATAACTGCCATAATTAATTTAGTACTGTAATGAAAAGATCAACAATAGAAAAACAGAACTACAGAAATAAAAAAAAAATTAATTCCAAATATTAATCAAAACAACCAGCAACTTTGGTCAATGAAAAAGTTCTGTCCTGAACTAGAAGGCACAAAATATCATTGAAAATTTTAAATGTTTTTTTTTTCAAAAGTCTTAAATGATGATCAATGTCCCACTGGGATCAGCATCATCTTCCAAGACCTGAGATGTCGTGAAGCAGAGACATCAGTCATGTGATGTGGATGCATCTTCCTCATTCAGCACTGTCTGGACCAGCCCTAGATTCTTGGCACTAGAAACTTCCCAATTCTGAAAAAGTAAAAAATATTAGAGCTAAGCTAACAAACATCAGGATTTTTCACATGGAAATTTGATACGGTATATACAATTATAGGAATCACAACTCATCTGAATAGTTTTGATTTGGCAAGCTCCAGTACCTCAGCAAATGATAAACATGATCATGTACATGTAGTATCTTAAATTTTCAGCATCTTACACTTCACTCATAGGTCATAGCTGCCTTACAATGGGGTTATGAAGAACTTTGCAGCCTTGCAAGTTGTTTTCAAACCGGAAAAGACTAGCAAATAAGCCAAACATTTAGTCAAACATTCTACTATTAAGTTTTTAACAGCCACCTTTAGCTAGCCTTTTTGTTAGATAATTTTGCCTATTTGACCAAATAGCCAATTTTCATCTGGAAAAACAATTTTAATTTTATTAATTCACTGGAAACTTTATTTTCTGCCTTCTATACAGTATGTACATGCACTTAGCCACTTACCCACTGCCACCTATAATCAATAAGGATTAAGGAGGTAGCCTCAGGTAGGTAGCAGGGTTGAAGGATTTTACATGAATTTAAAATGGATTTTTTATCAAAAATCCAAAAAGATGTTGAAATACTAAGTTTGTGTTCATATGTCATATATATATGTGATAATGTGTCAAGGAAGCCAAGTCTCTAAAGTCTAAAACATAGCTGTTATTCAGCTCCTGAGAGTCTGAGTCCTGACTGTCCAGGCCTGTCTCTGTAATCTGTCCTGTCCTTGACAGCTGAAAAAGAAACAGCTACGGCCTCGGGGCCTACGGTAGCTGCTAGCCTGCTAGGTACTAGGCTAAAATCATGTTTCTCAACAAAATATATCCAAAAAGCTCACATTGACTTTTAAAAATATTTCTATGGTCCTATAAATGAAAATTTATGTATTCGAAGAAAATTTTCATTTTATTTAGAATAACAAAGCAGAAAACGCAACAAAAATCTGATGAGGTGTCAAAAAATGTTTACAATGACCGATTCTGGTAAGTCAGAAATTTTTAAAAATTTCCAATCATGAAAAATATACCATTACAGAAATAGAATTATCGTGCGTAAATTTCATGCATAATTTTTCTTTGAATTAAAACCAGTATCTCAAAATAAAATTCATCGTAATACTTTGAAAATTTTTATTTTGACGATGTAAAATACATAAATCACCTTCTGGTTTGAATCGTGAGATTGGAAAAATTTCCCCACTTAGACAACACAAATTTATCAGACAACTGCAAAAAGTTTTAAATATTTGCAAGAAAAACATGCTAACGATTCTTAACGACCCCTGAAATTTTTGCAGAAACGACGCAGCAGCAAACAATGGTTCAACTAATAAAAGGTTGACCCACGATGATGATTTTTCGCCGTTCTGCGCATCTCTAGAGTGACGTCAATGTGGGCACAAATGTAAATAGTATTGATAAAAACATTGTTTTTATGTCATGTTTGGAAGCATTTAAAAATATTGACCTCATCAAAATGCCACAAGAAAATTTATTTACTGCATGCAACTAGTCTTGTTTTAAGCAAAACCGGCGCTACAAATAAGAACCTTGTCATTGGGGCCAAGGTGACGTAATAGATAAGTTGGAATAATAAATGACATCCGCAAGGCGCAGCTGCACTAGGGAAAACCTTGTATTAGTTCAATCATGAAAAATTGACCTCTTAAAATGGCCCGAAAGATTTTATTTACTGCAACTAGTCTTATTTTAAGCAAAACGGGTGTTGCAAATCAGTTTGAATCACAGGGTGACATCATAAGTTGACGTCACAACGACCAAGGTGACATCACGGGAGAATAACAAATGACATACGCAAGGCGCAGCTGCGCGTGGGTCAACCTTGTATTAGTTCAACCATGGAAGCAACATTCAACTCGAATAATTTCCATGTGGTGTGAAGAAAATATGGATCCCTTCTGATCGAAGCATTTTAATAGCGAAACTAATTAAAAGCTTGGCTCCAATCGCCCCCGATGTATGATATTATGTTAGCCTAAGGAAATATGTATTTATAAGCTCCGATCACGCTATGAATTGTGTGTGCATAGCAAGGTGCAATGTTACCTCGGATATAATGATTTTGGAATTTTCGTATATTTTTGTTGATCGATATGTTATTCTGTTTCTTGGCCTTTAGATTCGATATTTAAGTTTTTATTTAAATTTGGCTTCTCACTCTTATTTGTACTTGTATTATTTAAATATTTAAACCGATGGTGGAGCTGTTATCTGAAAATATTTATACGACGATTTGTTCAATTTATTTTATTTTCTTTGGCTCTCAGATTTTTTATGATCTTACAATTTTAGCAAACATGTGAAATATGCACAAATAATTTCTGAACAATAATAAGACGAAAATGATGCTTTTGAGTATATATAATAATATATAATATATCAGAGCGTGATAAACTTTTTTGCGCACTCTCTAGATTTTTCAAAAATATCTCGACACATGCCAAAATCTGTTGATTCATTTATTTATTGGAATATTTTCATAATGAGTCGAGATATCATTTTGTGTATAATTCATTCTCGCGAAATAAATACCACAAAGAAGAGTCAATTAAATAGAAAGATTACTGATAATAAAGTGTGCTCCGATTGACCCTACAATCGTTCGATTGCAGTCAACGCTTGAAATGTTAATCGTTCAGCGGCGCAAAAATTGAATCGAGATCCAACTGCTGCCAGACCTCATGACTCCCTCAGCTGCTGACATCGTGGGGAGACATGCTGCTGGCGGACCTCAAGACCTCAGCTGCTGACATCGTGGGGAGACATGCTGCTGGCGGACCTCATTGACCTCATGATCTCAGCTGCTGACATCGTGGGGAGACATGCTGCTGGCTGACCTCATGATCTCAGCTGCCTGCTGACATCGTGGGGAGACATGCTGCTGGCGGACCTCATGACCTCAGCTGCTGACATCTATAAAATGAACATCTACTTGTATTCCAAGTCTAGATTAGGAATTCAACCAGAGAAAAAATTAATTCACCTTCTCTTTTGTTTGCGCATTTTGATCTGCATTACAGTAAAAAATAGACCTTGATAATTCAATTATATTGCTGGAATTACTTTCATCCAAACGTCAGCTCAGCGGTTGCCTCCAATAACCGTACCAAAACTTCATTCTGGATTATTTTCTCCAATGAATTCTTCTTTGGCAAATGACAGTAAAAGTGTTCGACGGACTGAGTGACCCAAAAGGTGGCAAACTGAAAGAAAACATGACAGGCTCTACGGAGTCAGAAAGTAAATTAAAAGCTCAGTGCTTGCAAGCAGAGGATGCGAAGCAGTCATTGATTGAGGAAATTCGACGAGATTATTGAAGCACTTTGACTGGTGGCGAACAAATAGAATTTCGAAGGACATTTTTGTGTCCTCGTTGGCCCTGTAAGTGGATGTGTACCTCGCGCCCCGGTTACTGGATGTTTAGTCTTATTTATTTAAATAAATTCTAGAATAAATTAGATTCTCACTTGCAAAGAATTTCACATCTTTCTCCGCATAAAAATATAGCTAACATGCCTTCAAAATCATTCTGCCATGAATTGCTCCTAATGTAATAGGTGTGATACAAAATAAAACTACAATTGGCTTAAATGTTTGGTTAAACTAATGCCCATCATGTAACAATATTATTACTCAGTTACTGGCTGTTCTTATCTTAGCTTATGATAAAAACTCCCGACCACTTGAGTGTGCAAGTGTGAAATCTTGACCGAGCGAGAGTGTCTTTATGTTATCAGCAGTCAAGCCCTCACGCTATTAGCGAATTGTTAAATCATAACAAAACGCGCGTCATCCGATTTAATCATCATTTTAAACAATAATAATAGTCATTGTAACCCAAAATTCCTGTATACCACAGTGGCCTCTCCACGAGCATATATGACGTTGGGAGAGCAAAGTAACGTCATGTAGTTAACGTTACTTACTTATTAACGAGAGAAGAAGTAAGTGTAGCAGTTAAGGAGAGAAGAAGCAAGTGTAAGAGTTAAGGAGAAAAAGAATCAGTGTCGGAGTTAAATAGAGAAGGAGTAAGTGTAGGAGTTAAGGAGAGAAAGAGTAATTCAAGGAGTTAAGGAGAGAGGAAACAAGTGTTGGAGTTAAAGAGAGAAGGAGTAAGAGTATGAGTTAAGGTAGGAGTTAAGGAGAGAAGGAGTAAGTTAACGAGAGAAGAAGTGTAGGAGTTAAGGAGAGAGGAAAAAGCAAGTGTCAAGGGGGCTAGAGAAGAAAGCTGTGCAATTGTGCGAGCCTGGAGTTTGAGGGCAGGACTGGCGCTGAGTTTATGAGAGGTCGCGGCGTTGAGCTCGTGTCATGCTAAGTTTCCAAAATCATTTCGCTTTAGCAACGGTTTGAGTGGAGCGTCACAGCCCCCGCATGTTCTTACAACACGTCGGGCATGCGCACTTACCTCAAAAAGGACGCGTGGTAAGGACATTGGGTCCTTAAATCCATTGCTATTCCTTCAGGACCTTAAATTACCTCCGTGACTGCGTTAACGTTCATAAAGACAAGCGTTCGCACGGCGTTATTGGAGCGCCACAAGAAGTTATCGTGAACGCCGCGTGTGTCGTTCACATGTTCGCCACCCCCGCCTCCGCTATGCTCTTGACGTCATCATTTCCCTGGACCCTCCAACCCTCTGCCTGCCCTCGGTGGTCTTACCCTCTCTTCCCTCTTGCTGGTGTACGAAGCAATTCCGAGATGACCTTTCCCTCGCAATACATATATTTTTACTTGCATTTTCTCACTTTCAGTGTTCAGTGTAAAGAAAAAATATATTTTATATTTGTACTTAAAACAGGAGTTTTCAATGATTATACCCATATAATAGAATGTTTTAGTTTCCCAGCATTCTTTCTCTGAACCACTCCAATGTTCACAGAAGTAAAGTTTCGTGTGGTATTGGCGAATGTCTAGTATTTTCACCTCCCAAACAATTAAGCGCTTCAGTCAAATTTTGACGCTAACTCTCACCACTTCGTCCGTTCAACATTGCTTAATACCAATTCCTGCTTCAACTACGGGGAATTCAACTTAACCNCGCTTCAGTCACATTTTGACGATAACTCTCACCACTTCGTCCGTTCAACATTGCTTAATACCAATTCCTGCTTCAACTACGGGGAATTCAACTTAACCCTACTTATTCAACTTAACCTTACTGGGAATTTCGTTGCCTTCAGACCTTCCGTCTTTTGCTTTGAGCGACTGAAAGAATGAAGTTTAAGTTACATCTTTAGCTTTTCTACTTATGTCAACATGCTGAAATTGTTATCTAAAATTCACATTATGATATTGTGCGTCCAGTGTTTCCCTGCTGATATTGTGTGTCCAGTATTTTCCTGCTGATATTGTGCGTCCAGTTGACACACACGAGAAACTTGACTCATGAGAGATACCTGAGAAGTTTATGAATT